GATAAATGAATTTACTAAATTTAATGCTCCATTAGTGATTTTTGATTTTATACTAATTTTTACTTCTGTGCCGGTGATATAGTATGATATCTTTATTGGGCTAATGTAATCCATCATTTATTTAACAATTTCATATCAATATGATCAGGTTCTAAAGCCTGATCCGCAAGAAGATTACGAGTAGATGCTAGATATTTTCTATTTTTCATTTATTTTCTTATTTCTTGTGTTTCTTTTAAATAATTAATTCTGTAATATTGTTCAGTACTTTTAAGTTATTGTGTAAGGAATGTAAATCTTAACTTTTTATTTCGCTTCTGCACTTAAGTTATTATATATTTCATTTTGGATTTTCGGGGTCGTTACATCTGTTGTCAAATTTATAATAAAAATTTTATAACATATACTTTTTTATGTATATATAGTTAATTTTAAGAGGATGTCAAAAAATAATTAAGTAAATTGATTAAAAAAATAAGAACCTAGAATAAAAAGTTACAAATAAAGTGTTTACTTTTAAATTGTTACGTAATATAAAATAAAAAATATAACATATAATAAAACTAAATTGAGTAGTATAATACCAATGAAATGTAGTAATGTGTTAAATGGACATAAGACTGAATTGAACAAATTTTTGTAATATTGAATCTTCGATAATGAATAAACAGTTACTTAATAGAACACAGGAGGGCTAAAGTTTTATTTTTGGGTATTATTTATATTTAATTATTAAAATTTCATTGGTAGAACTATGTTGTTTGTGTATATATATATATATATATATATCTCAAATTTATATTAATTTTGAAAGTTAATATTAACTTAAACTTTTATTTATGATAAAGTAACCTGATTCAATTAGTATAAGATAACAAATAAATTATAAATTACCATGAAACATTTGTTGCTTAATTGAAATCTGTATAAGATTATAAACTATACTATTTATATATACATATATATATAATACTACATAAAGAGTGATATGCGTGAAGGATTCTTACTTAAGATACGAAGCATTTCTTTGTAAAAAAGAACAAATCATACTTATACTTTATATATAATTCTAGTAAAGAAACGATATTTTAT